TTTCTGGAAAGCTGACTTATGGCATACTTTGAGATTCTATTTGTCCCCTGTGTTTTTTAACTTTTACGTGAAGTTGTTGAGAAAACTCTAGGTCAACAAGAGTTTCTGTGCTCTGTCTTTCTTTCTCTTTCTCTTATACCAAAAAGTTTGTTGAAGTCCTGGATCACTGAATATATAGTAGAATATGGAATATTACTCCAAATGCATAGCAAATGCCTCAACTGAATACACAGTCTCATCCTAATTTCTTGAAGTGTTGTCTAATACCTGATCAGCCACTCCCATCCAACACTATTTGTGTAGTAATTGTTACTATAGCTGTTATAATTTTATAATCTATTATCCAATTTTTTTGTCCTAGCTAATAGCAAAGTCTTCTGATGATAACTACTATATTTGTAAACACTAACTATGCAGCACAAAGGTTTTAATAGATAAATTTGTGAGTAACACGGTTCTCCAAATATATTGTGCATAATCAGGTTCCAGGTCTATCTAAGCCAAGGGTGTCAAACTTGCAACATCATGTTGTCGTCATGTGACGTATTGTGACTTTCCTCCCCTTCGCTAAATCGGGAGTAGGTGTGGCCAGCGCATGATGTATCTGGCCTGCAGGCCTCAAGTTTGACACCCCTGACCTAAGCCAAACAAACTAAACTAAGGTTTGTTTGGATGTCAGAGATGTTAGGCTCCACCTAAAAGAAGAAAGATGATGTTACTCATTGGGAGAGGCAGCAGGATAAAGATTCACAAAAGAGGTACCAAAAAAGTGACTGAGATAATGTTCCATACATCGCCATCTATCTCACTGATACCTCCACAGTGGGTGAGTCCATACAGCATGTAGCCTTTGTGACACAGGCACTGGAAACTCCCGGGTGTATTTACACAGATGTGGTCACAAGTTCTATCAAAGGAGCATTCATCAATATCTGGGAACAGGAAAAAAGAGCATAAGCTGTATTGCAATAAACGAGAGCCAGTTTGGTCCAGTGATTAAGACACCAGGCTAAAAACAAAGATTGTGAATTCTAGTCCCACTTTAGGCATGAAAGCTGACTGGGTGATTTTGGACCACTTGCTCTCTCTCAGTCCAACCCAATTCACAGGGTTGTTGTGGGGAAAATAGGAGGAAGGAGTGTTAGGTATGTTCGCCACTTTGAATTATATATAAAAATAAGAAAGGTGGGATAAGAATGAATGAATAATAAACAAATAAATATGTAGGTAGTACACCTAGAGATTGGGATTATTTTGCTTTTTTACTAACCAGAAAGTGTGAAACTGTACCAAATTGCCCAGGAATAGGAAAACATTAGGAGGAAATGTTATTATAATAGCAATTAACTATTTACTTTGGTAACATGATTTTTCTTTGACCCTCCTCAGCTGAAAAATAAGGGTACAAATTAAGTTCCAAAATCATTACTGATTGCAATTTCTGATTAAAACTTCTATTAGCTGTAAGTTATATTATTGCCTATCTTATCACAGTTCTAAGAGTCCTGAGGTGGTAAAAGAAATCATGGAGGCATGTAATAGAGAAGTTTTAATAATTGAGGATTTCAATCACCCTGATGTAGGTTGGGTACATTTATGCTTGGGCCATAACAAATAAAGCCAATATCAAGGTATCCTAAATATATATGCCTTGGAACAGTGGTTTTGCAACTGGCCAAAGAGATTCAATCCTAAATTTAATCCTAAAGGATTAAACGGTGATAAACACAAAGTATGTTATAAACCAAATGGGTATAATATCAGTGCTCGTGCACTGAGCGTACATGCAAATGAGAAACTGTCAAGAGGGTCCAACACAGTCATTCAACATTCGATTACAAATTCTGAAAAGGAACTTGTGAAAAAAATCTAGTGGGAAAAGAAAGAGTGAGAGCAAATTCATACAACCAATTTTCCCTCTGTGAGAACATGAAGACAGCCCTCTATCCATATCCAAAGTATATATCTTTCTAGCTCATCCCCATCTGCACCTGAGGCAGTCCAAGGTTGGCTTTTGGCCCTCTGTTTTGGAAACTGTGTTTTCCCTCTTATCCTGCTACAACAGCGTATAGGCAATAATGCACGGCCATGTTGATGAGCAACATTGAGACTTATAAAGCCTTGAAACCAAATAGCTTCTGTCTGGTTTAAGGAACATCACTAGAAGGATCATTCAAAGGAATGTTACCTGTACTCTGTCAAAGCCATGAAATACAAAATGCTCTAACATTTTGCTAGAATTTAGGGGTCAATATTTTTAAAACATGAAGGATTTTTTAAAATAAAGTTCAGTCAATCAACAATTGATTAAAAATTGCAGGACATAGAGTAACTAAAGTATTGTGCATGCCAAGTGTAAGAGACTTTCCACATGATAGATGACAATGGATGGAATTTCAACTGAAGGAACCATCCTCATGGCTTTTAGAATGTTGCATTTAAAAGTTTTCTGGACAGCAGTGCAGCATGGACCGATTCATGATGAAAGTGCATTATGGAGGCAGCAAAATATAGGGGCAGCACCATTTGCTGCTGGCTCTGGGACAGGCTCTGGGGAGCAAGGCCCCACAGCTACATGAATGTGGTCTGAAAAGAAAAATTAGTAAGGTCAAATCTCTTAAAGACAGAGGATAAGAGTGGTTGTTATTAGTATTAAGAGGGAAACATTAAGAAGGGCTTTATATTTTAACCAGAAAACAAGCAAAAGTATTAGACAATGGAATGAAAAAGATGCTTATGTTGGAATAAACAGACAATTTTCTCAATGGGGGGGTGGCATGGAAGCCTTGTAAGACTATACTGGGATCTGTGTTTTTTTATTTATCAATGATCTTGACTTAAGGATTTACAATAAACTTCTAAACTTCCAATTTTCAGGATGATAAAAAAAAGTGGCTATGAAGGGCTCCAAAGGATAATTATATGAATAATCATTCCAGAATGATGTATGCTGAGGAAAAAATCCTAACTTTACATATGCACCGATGAAGTCTGTGCTGTCTGTTAACTAACCTGGAAAAAGTCTTGGGGTTACAGTGAGTAATGGCAATACTGACTCAGTGTATGTGTCAACTGTGAAAAAGACAAATTCCATGGGACATTCATTATGAATGAGTATGAAAATAAAACTGCCAACATTGTTAACCATTATTCAACCAAAAGGACCAGGAGGGTCAAATATTTTCCTTATGAGAAAAGGCAAACACATTTAAGATTCTTTAGACTGGAAAAATAATGATTGAAAAGGATATGATCAAGGTCCCTAAAATTATATATGGCATGGAAAAGATGGATAGCATTTTCAAAATACTGGCTTCAGGGGTCACCCAATGAAGCTAATTAGAAGTAACTTTAGAACAGACTTAAAAGAGCACTTTTTTACATAGAACGTAATTTCCCTATGAAATTAGGAGATTCACTATCGTAGATGGCTTTAAAATGAGGATAAATATTTGGACAAGGACATTTTCATAACAAGTCTATAATGATTCAATGATACATTCAGGTTGAGAGCTCTCTATCACTAAATAATAAATTGTAATGGAACAACAGCAAAAAAAATATCCTGCTTGTAAACACATTAAAGCAATCAGGTTGGCTATTGTAAGAAACAAAATACTGAACTAAGATAAGCATTGATCTGATCCAGTAGGGCCAATCTAATAGTCTTACATTTTATTTTACATTACATTAATGTAATGTACATTATATTTTACATTATATTTTATTATATAAAATAGCAAAGTCAAAGCTATGAAACATTGAAATCCAAGCCTCATATAGATTTCTTATGCTGACTATAAAAAAAGAAATTAAATTGAGAGTGTTTCGTATGTGACTAAGCTCTATCTCCATATTTAAATAACTGCTTCATTATTATTTCCAGCAAGATATGAGAAGACTTTACCTTGGCACGTCCTTTCATTGATAAGCAATTTATATCCCTTTTTACAACTGCATTCAAAACTGCCCACTGTGTTCCTGCAGATGTGGTCACAGCCACCATTGTTCAATCTACATTCATCTATATCTGTAATAAGAAGGCAAAAAACACAGCAAAATACCCTTTAGGTACAAAAAAAGGTGACAATTGAATGAATGCCATATAGTCATCAAATGAGGATTCAACAGAAAAGGAACAGGTCAAATGACTTGATTTCTCAGTTCAGATTCAATTTAGATGCTACTTTTGATATGTATTCATACAGATAGTTCTTGACCTATGACCATAATTGGGTTCAAAATTTCTATTGTTTAGTGATGCGGTCATAAAGCATGATGCAGTCATATGGCTACATCACTTAGTGCCAGCAATCCAGCTGTTATTAACCAAGAATAACAAGTTATTATTTAAGTACCCACTCCAACCCAAGTCATTCCTAGGCTTGGTGCCTCCTAGTCCCAAACCCTGGAAAGGTAGGGGACTACATCCTTTTCAACTCCACCCACCCACCTAGCTCCTTCCACAACTCTGGCCTTTTGGCAACCCTTTACTTTGCCTTGAGGGGCAACAAACAGTCTCAGAACCTCATGGCTCAGGGGATAACTGACATACTGCCACTTAAGAGCTTCCAGGCGTGCTGTACTCGGAGGCTACAAGAAGCCCGAGTCTCTCTGATGCTCAAAATCATAGTCCCAACCTGGCCCGACAGTGCAGCGCAAAAGGGTTTCTTGGTGCACCATGGCAGCGTAGCACATCACGAAGCACAGCCCCAGTCTGGCCCAGTAAAGTGGTGTGAAGCCGAAGCCACCCCAGTCCAGTTCCAGCCAAAGTCACCTTTGTCATTCTGTTCTCCGAGATCCCTGCCACCTTCTGCATGCTCAAGATCTCTGGCACTCTGTGCTCTGAGATCCCTGCTGCCCTGTGCTCCCTGCCCCAGTTGACCTTTGCCTTCCTCTTGTTCCCACTGCTGATGAGGCATGAGTCCTTTATGAGGCACTTGCTGACCACATAAGCCTACCTTTCCCAGGTCTTATGAGGAAACTGCCATCAGCAACTTGAGGGGGGGGGAAAGCCTCATGTGGCCAGCAACTTCTTTGCGAAGAGCCAGGCTAAGCATGCTCAGCCAGGAGCGGGAACAAGAAGGTGGCAAATGTCAGCTAGGGTGGAAGGGATCGTGAATGCAGGGGCCAAATAATATAGATGGGGAGAGATAGATGGGGGAAGAGTTGAAGCACCCCTGTGGTTGTATATGAGGGGGGGCTGCCAAGTGGGCAAATTTTGATCACATGACTACAGGGGTGCAACAACAGCTGTAACTTTGGGGACCAATGTTAAATCCCTTCTTTAGTATCATTCTGAACACTTGCTGAATGAACGGTCGTAAATTGAGGTCTATCTATAATTTCTTGTGCTGTAGGGTACTTACAGCTTAGGTGCTTGTTACCCAATCATCCCAACCTGCTTGGAATTTTATGATAGTTCAAATAAAGATATACACTCGATTTGGTTAACTTCCAAACCAAGTTAAACTGACCTGGACAGATTCTTTTAATATAGATTAAATCCAAAATGCAGCTTTTCTGAAACTGCTTTAGTGTTTGGGGGATTTCTAAGAATACTGGCCAGTTGCATTTAGGAAGAATTCATAATTTTGTTCTACGCAAGGAAATGCAAAAGAGAAAGAGAGGAGATTGTAGTAAAGGAGTGTGGTGATCCTGGAATTGGAAGGACCCAGGTTCAAATCTCTATGAACTATTGAAACTCCCTGAGTGACTCTCATTCTCTCTCAATCCAACATATTTCACAGAGTTAATGTTGGGAAAAAAGCTTTAATCATAATAAAATGTAAATATATAGTTTTGTAGACTATACAAATGTGACTACACAGAATTATTTATTGCAATATTCATCACATTTTTCTTAGACAAAGCTCATTTATAACAGTTAAGTGAACATAAGATCACAAAAAGATTAATGAAACAATATACCTTTTAAAAATTAAAATAATTTAAAGCATCTACTTAATAGACTGTGATAATTTACAAAGGAAGAATTTACAGACAATAACGCCTCTCATTTATTGTTGTCTATATCCTTTTCAGATGGATAACAGAAGATAGCACTAAAGACAACAAAGAATCAATGCATTATCTCTCCAAAAATTAATTTCAAATAAGAGCCAAATGATTATATTCTAAATTTAGCTGTAATTTTTAGAATTGTTTTGCCAAAAAAGGTAGAAAGAACATATTCTCTGCCTTGTTTAATTCCCTAAATGCTTATAAAGTGTCTACTATCTATAAAGAAATATTTTTACTTGTAGCACATGCCAGAAAATTTACTTCTAGGAAATTGTTTGTTAAAAGCTGATGAATCCCAGAAAACAAGCTCAGCCAGACATCATCGAAAATTGCTCTCTTATCTTGCCCCAATCCAACCAACTTCAGCAAGCACGATGAATTGTCAATGCTGTTATTGTTATTATCATTGAAATGTATTAGCAATAAAATAACTCTGAATAGTAATAAAGTCCCAGTCACAGAGAATTCTGTTCTGGGGCATTATGTTTTCCTGCAACTCCAGCATTTTAGAGTTAATGAGTTCTGTAAAATAATGGAAACAAATGGGATCTGGAATCAGTAAGCTGGTTAGACAGCTTTCAGCAGAGGGCTGTTTTTTAACTAAGGTCACATTCCCTGGAACTGCCAGAGACAGAACACAGACTCCATCCATTTGTGAAGTCTCATTTATTTCTCAGCAAATTTCTCCAGATTGTTCTTTAAAAACAATAGCAATAGCACTTAGACTTATATACCACTCCACAGTGTTTTATAGCACTCTCTGAGCGGTTTATAATGTCAACAAATTGCCCCCAACAACCTGGGTCCTCATGTTACTGACCTTGGAAGGATGGAAGGCTGAGTCAACTTTGAGCCGGTCAGGATCGAACTCTTGACTGTGGGCAGAGTTGGCCTGTAATATTGCATTCTAACCACTACACCACCATTGCTCTTACAAACCTCAGTTTCTTTTCAATGCAAAATTAATACCAGTTGAAGGACACAGATGTATCCTTTTCTCTGCATCAGATCCATTTACTGGATAAAGACTTTGGTTACATCTTACCTTTGCAAGTTTTTCTGTCAGGCTGAAGCATGAATCCCATGGGGCAGCTGCAGTGTACACCTGTGGCTGCATCATGGCATTTGCTATCACAGCCTCCATTGTTAACAGCACAGGTCTCTGAAAGAAGATCAAAAGCCAATTAGAATTATTTTAAAGCATACGCACATTTAAGATTTTTTTCAGTATCTTGAAAAGATCTTTCAAACATCCGTTATATGCAGTTCTACAAACATTTCTAATATAGGAATGACATGTCTTAAGAGTTGGTTTTATGGAATGATGGCACTGTTTCTAGAGGCAAAACTCCTTGACTTAAATTTAAAAAAAATCTGAATACATAGCTTAGACTCAAATCCAAACATTTGAAAATTGAAAGCTTTTAATAGAATAAAATATATTAATTCAATTAGTGTTTTAAAGTTTTTCATAATATAGTTATTATAAAAGTATAAATATATTTCACTTCTACTCTTAACGAATGCCTAGATTTTTCTAAGACAGGTATATGGAGAAGAATGCACAATCAGGTAATCCTCAACTTACATCCAGTTGCTTAGTGACTATTCAAAGTTATGACAGAATCTTCAAAAGGTACTCATGACCCAATTTTGAATGAATGATGGCCGTACTCCTTCCCATGGTTATATAATCGCACTTGGGATGTTTGGCAACTAGTTTATCTTTATGATCTCTGCAGCATCTTGTCACATTACTGCAATTTTTGATGGGGTTTTTTTTGCCGATTTCTGGTATTTACTTCTGGTTTCCAGCCAAAAAAAAAAGTCCATTGTACATAATAGATTCTCTTAATGACCATGGCATTCACTTCATGATGATATTTGCTTAATGATTACCACAAAAAGTCTAATAAACTCAGGTCTGGTCACATGATGACCTGCTTAACAACCAGAATGACTTATGACCATAATTTCAGATTCAATTGTTATTGACTTATGACTAAGTCAAGGATTACCTGTAATATGTGCTATCATTACAACTGGGCCCAAAAAGCTTTGAATAATATTTTATAAGGAATAAATGAAGCTATTGTATCAAGCTTCTGTTTGGAGATTATGTGAACTGGGGTGCAACATGTCTGGAGAGTATAAAGTTGGGTTATAGGACAGCCAATGAGAGGACTGATATTTTCAAAGAAGAATTGATGGGTGTGGAGAAAAAGATTTATCCTTTCACTTATCTACTAAATCTCCTTTAGAGCTCTTCATTGAAGTCAATGCTGACACTTAATTTTTTAAAAAAGTATTTTTTCTCCTCTAGATTATGATATTGGAAGAGAGTCTACTTGAAAAAAGAGTGGTACAGAAGAGGCTTTTTGAGGACAAAAGTGGAGGGCACAGAAGGGGTAAAGCAAATCAGACCTATTTTCTACCTTTAAGCCTGCTTTTCCATCTCCATCTTCCCAGCAAATGTGGAAATGTGCTAAGTTGCTTTCTTTAGCCATCCACATATACATACATACAGTACACCTTCTCTGAGATTTAAAAATTACAGATCCTCCTTTTTAAGCCTGTCCCAATTATTTGCAATGGCAAAAATCCACATCAAGATAGCAAGTGTTTATGATCTGGGTATCAGTGGTTCACACAAATTTTTATTAAATATATAATCTCTTATTCCAGAATGCAATGATGGAACAGAACATTGCAACTGGTCTCCATTAAATAATAGTTTCACAAATGACAGATTGATTTTGAGAATCGAAAGAAAGGGCTGTATTATGTTTTTTAAAAAGGCCTATCCCTAAAACAGAGCATCTACATCCATTTGCATTTTTTGTTCAGGTTCATAGAATCTTAAAATATTCTTGGAAACTATCTAGTCTAAAACCTCTTAGTATAGCAATTCATGACTACAGAATCCCTGTCAGATTTGCAACTAGATCATACTTTTGAGTCATGTTCGATTTATCATTAAGACATCCAGATCCTTTTTGTATTTAGAGCTAACCGATACCGCTTCATGCTTTAAATTTTTTTGTTTTTCTCACCCAAATGAAAACTCTCAATTTCCCTAAATTAGGAAGTCTTGATTTCCTAAATCTCTTCCCTCTTTTCCTTCTTAAAATGTTATACAATTATATTCCCCACATCTTATTTTTGAGAAGTATGCAACTCTTCTGTACTCTTATAAAGAAATTAAGAAATTCTGTCTAGTAATTCTGTCTTGACTGAATTATTTTTTCAAGAGGTATCAGAACAATGGAGTCTTCCATTGTTACTGTCTTTTTTCTCAGAAAGTTCTATAATCTAGTCCAGATCTTCTATCTATTTTTGTAATCTACAGCATACATCATAAACATTGGTTGTTGTTTCTCCTGCTATATATTCCTATTCAAATGGACTGAACCCTAATGCTCAGATTAAGGGATCTCTATATACATTCATTAGGTACTTATTAAACCACATAAAAGTAGTCCAGTCTTATTAGAAACATTTCACCTAGTTACGTGTTTCCCCAAATATTTGATCACTGAAACTGTCTCAAATTCTATGTCATTCTGTAACAGTTCTCTCCTAAATTAGCTCTATTAAATAGGGATCATACTCATTCATGAAACAAATAAACAATAACCCTTAAAAGAATGTTGACTAACTTTTTAAAAAGAAAATTTTGTAGAAATTTAGCATGTGTGCCGAATTCTAATGCTATACAATTTTGTCAGCACACTATTAGCTTGCTCCTTACTCCCAAATATGTCCATAATTAGATTGACTAGATTTTTAAATTCTAATTTATCACCAGCATTTGATTTTAGACTGAGCAATGCAAATTATTACATTTCTCCTGTAATCACTTTGTAATCATACAAACTCAATATAACATATAGATTAACAGAATAGTGCAAATGTAATTACTATTAGCACCATACTTTAGCATCATAGCACCTCTTTCTAATCTGATTCTACTCTTTTGTTTGTTTCATTTGATGTTTAAGTGAAGAATACCCTTTCATTAACTAATGCATAGTTGCCTTTACCAGTGCATGTTCTTCCTTCAGAATGTAGTACAACTAAAGTACACAGGATTTGTACTTTAAAAAAATGTGCTGCAGCTGCCAAAAAAGCCACCTTTAATCCCAGGCTGCATTAACAGAGGGATAGAATCAAGATCATGTGAAGTGTTAGTATCATTTTATAATGTCTTGGTAAAACACCACTTGGAAAATAGGTAGTCCTCCTTGTTAATGGTTTCCCTATTGACTTTGCTTATCAGAAGGCTTTAAAAGATCACATGATCCTGGGATGCTGCAACTATCATAAATATGAATCAGTTGCCAAGCATCTGAATTTTGATCATGACTACAGGGATGCTGCATGGTTGTAAGTGTGAAAAACAGTGATAAGTCCGTTTTTTCAGCACCATTGTTACTTCAAATGGTCACTAAAACTGTTGTAAGTCAAGGACTATCTGTATTCCATCCAGTTTTGGTCGCCACAATGTAAAACAGATGTTGAGACTCTAGAAAGAATGCAGAGAAGATGTTTAGGGGCTAGAGACTAAAACATATGAAAAATATTTGCAGGAATTAGGTACGCCTAGTTTAATGAAAAGGAGGACTAGGGGTGACTTGATAGCAGTATTCCAATATCCAAGGGGCTGCCGTAAAGAAGAGATGGTCAATCTATTCTCCAAAGCACTCGAAGGCAGAACAAGAAGCAATGGATGGAAACTAATAATCTAGAAGAGAACCAGCCTAGCACTAAGGAGACATTTCCTGACAGTTAAAACAATTAATCAGTGGAACAACTTGCCTTCAGAAGTTGTGAATACTCCCACACTGGAAGTTTTTAAGAAGAAATTGGACAACCATTTCTCTGAAATGTTATAGGGTTTCCTGCTTGAGCAAGGGTTGGACTAGAAGACCTCAAAGGTCTCTGTTGTTCTGTTAATTTTGTATAGCCATTAAAGTCTTGTGAAGTTCTGGATCTCAGTATAAAACAACTTCAAAAAAAATTCAAAATCATAAGCAGAAATAAAACATTTAACTGATTTTCTTATGTCTCTCTCTTACATACTACCTTAGCAAGCAGCAGCACCTGGTTGCTCCTTACTGATTTAGAAATTTAAGTAAAGTTAAATATATTAGTATTTAGACAGGAGACCACCTGGGAAATCCAGGAGTCAAGGCTAGACCAAGACACAGCAAAAGTATTTTTTTTTTAAAAAAATTGTTTGATGCCACTTTTGTTTATTTTTGGTTTTTTGTGTATTACTTCCCAGAAATAATACATCCCCAAAAGTTGAAGTCCAATTAACTACCAATGCAACAGTAAAGTTAGGCAGCTCAGACAGGTACAATGAGGAGATCACTTGGTTCAACTTGTGCTTTGCTTTGCCACGTGACAAGCAGGCAGGAAAAACATCAGCGAATCACAGTATCA